TTTTGTCTGATAAGATTTCGTGAATTATTATCTTATTAATGCGTTTCCAATGATGTTACTTCACCTAATATTACATATGAGTCAATGCCAAGGTTGAAAAATTCGAAATATTGTAGAATTGAAAAGTCTATGTCTATTTTTCCATGTAATATTTCCATTTATTGTCAAACCTTAACAGTTCTATCCAAAATTCTATGTAAAATGCCATTTCTTTGATTTTTTTAGATTTCGTAGATTTTTCTATAATGATTCAACAATCAAGTCCTGAAGATGGGTTCCCGTAATGTTCCAAGATTTCCTATACATACATACTGTGTCTGATTATTGTAGACTAAAAGTTGAGCTAGAGCGGTTAAAAATGCTCAATTTGAATTTCGTATTGAGCCGAGAATAAACTGGAAAGCATCTATGTAAATCTTATTCCCAGACAATTTCTGATTTTTTTGAAATTCCAGAACTAGATTTGAACTTAAAAGGCTAATTTTTTACTCTTATATGTATACAAGTTAATTTGTAGGTCTACATAGGGGAAAAGCATTGAAATTCAATTTCCTTGAGCTAAAATTGAATTAAATATACCCTCGGATATACCTAAAGTTGGGCGTCTGATCATTCTAGAGTGAAAGTTGACTCATGATGCTCATTTTTGAATTCCATATATATCTGAGATTAAACTTAGAAGCATTTGAAGAACGTGAAGTTTTCAATAGTTAAGTAGTATTTGACTTGAAATTTTAGAAGTTTTGAACCCTTTAAGCATGTTATATTTCTTCAATAAACTTTATTAGTATTTAAACTAGGATTTCTAGGATTTGTGGTATGCTCCAGGGCTGGCAACAACAAAAAATCTGGATTTGGAACATTCTAGTTTCAATTTTCAAGAAAATTGAGTTCTCAAGGCTTCATCAACAGTTAAGTTATCTTTGACTTGAAATTTCAGGAATTTTGAGCCCTTTAAGAACATTACAATTCTTCTAGAAGCTTTATTAGTGTTTCAACTCATTATTCTGGGATTTGTGACATGAATGAATTTGTTTGTATATAGATAAGAAAAATATCTTAGATTTTGAATTAATATTTGGCACTACGGTATAAATGGGTTTTTGATACAAAAAGCCCAAAGCCCACTGCGTTTTTGGAATGAGTTTTTGTGTATGCCTTATAAAAGTCTAATTCAATTTTAAGCGTTTTTCGTACTTTTCCAGTTCAAATTTCGGTTCTAGGAGAGCCGGGAATAGAAATATTTTGACATTTTAGAGGTTTTTCATGTTGAGATTTTGAAATATATTGCCGCCATATGTAGTTTCAATTCTTGAGAAAGTGCAGTTTCCAAAGTTTCTTCAAGAAAACAACAAAACTTGGGAAGGTTTTTGATCCTTGTATAGAAGCTTTATTAGTGTGTGAACTTATTTTTCTAGAATCTCTAGTAGTTCAGTGTAGGAAGTGACTTTTTACGCACTGATTGCCAATGATTTTCAGATATTTTTGTATGATTACCAGGTGATTTCCATTTTTTCTGAGGACTCCTATGTATATCATTCCCAATTTTTTAACTACCCTAAACGGTGTATCGTGGTACTGCCTTTAACTTCCAGCACCAGTTAAACCACCTTAAAAGTTATAAGCAAGTCTTTTTAGATACGGTGTATATCGATACTGATGCCTATAAATTCTTGTAACATTTGTGTCCGACACTAGGGTGGAAATGTCAATATTTTTACAAAAACGGGAGATTTCGGATGCTAATTGGTAATTTATTAAAGAATGGGTGCGTAATAACGTGCTGCATTCCAGGAAGTTTGCAAACGTAGAAATTCAATCTAGATGTCGTTTCATGCACATATAGTTTGTGGAGTTTTTGTGAAAATACAAAAGGGACTCTAGAACGTATTGGGTTGGAACTGTCAGTATTTTCAGAGTTACGTCTTCTCGGTATTGAATACCTACCAGGATCCTGACTGCTATCCGTTGCAAACCAAAGGTACGTGAGGCATGCGGCGAGTGCCCCCAAGCCAGGAGTCCGTACATGCAGACAGAATGGAAAAGTCCAGTAGGCCATTTTAAGGGTCCCGCTATCTACTATCCTTGACCGTAGGTGGCAAAGTATAATTTCTTTGAAGTTTCGTGGTGAGTTTTGGATCAAGAGCTATTCCTAGAAATTTGATTTTTTCAGAGTTGAGTAGGATTGTAGCTTTTTTGAGAGTAAAGATCATGTTTTCAGTTTTATCCAGATTAGAAGGTTAAACCAAAACCATTCACTACTAGCAGTTTTAGCATAATATCTTGATATCTCCTCATTTGCCTGGTCTAAAGTGTCACACTTTATGGAGAAACCATTATCATTTGCGAAATGTATGACATTACAGGCTGGTAAAGCAGCTGAGAAGTCATTGATATAGATTAAGAACATGAGTGGTCCCAAAATTATTGATCCCTCGACAACCCCGTGCTGTATAAACCTTCTGCTGGCCCCCTATCTCAGTGATATGTCTCCTATCCGAGTGATATTCCCTCATCAGCTTTATACTAAGCTCAGCCAGTCCATAATATTTAAGTTTTTCTATCAAAATGTTATGTGATACACAGTCGAAGGCTTTGGGGAGGTCAGAGAAAGTAGAAGCTACAATTCGTCCCTCCTCAAAGCCCTCGACAATGAAATCACAAAGACTTAGTACTGCTCCAGTCTTGTCTGAACCCAAATTGTTCATCCATCAACAGCTTATTGTCCTTCGAGGTATGTGTAGAGCTGTGTTTGAAGGAGAGACTCAAAGACCTTGGAAAAGACTGGTATTAAAGGAATGGGTTTATAATTTTCTGGTTATAGTTTATCACCCTTCTTATGGATTGGCACAGGACAAAAAAAAGAGTCATGTTTGAGGTATCCATGTACCAATAAACATCGTCCTTCAAACTTGAAATTTTAGTCGTAAAAAATTGAAATCGAAATCCTGGTATTTTTGCAAAAGCATTATGCAACTTCATGTTGTAGGTACTTGCTATCACTAGGTATGGCAAACAATTTTGTAAATATGAAAGTTAGATATCAACTACTTAAGTTAAAATACATTTTCCAAGATAATTTAATGAGTTCCAGTGAGAATAGCGAGAAACCCCAAAAGTAATAGTTTGATATGCAATCTCTGTTGAAAAAAAAATATGGACCATTTTTCATTAATGATCCAACGATAATAGAAGCTGTATAAGTACACTGATATGCAGGATGGTGCCTCACCTCATTATTCTTAAGTAGCAAGGGAATTACTAGATTTGACATTTGGGAAAAGATAGGTGAGGATAGCTGGTCCTATAGAATGGACACCTTACTCTCCTGACTTGACAGTTCCAGACTTTTTTCTCTGGAATTATGTCAAGGAGGGATCCTGTAATCCTTTGTCAAATAGCCTGAAAGATCTTAAGTTGGAATAACCGTAATGTCATTGAAGCGATTCCCTAGGAAATGTTACACAATTTATTCAACCATTTACTGATACATTAATGCGTGGAACATAATGGCTAACATATACAGCATTTTTTATAGTTTTATGCAGTTTTTATCAACTTTTTAGTAGGCAAACATAATTTCCAAACTTGGTAAATATGCTTAAAAAAATACCAGGATTTCGATTTTAATTTTTTACGGCAAAAACTTTAAGTTTAAAGGACGATGTTAATTGGTACATGGATACCTTAAACATGACTCTTTTTATTGACGTAATATACAGGGCATTCCATTAAAAATAGTGGAGAATTTCGATGTTGAAAAGCGGATTTTTTTTTTACTCGCCCTGTATAAGAGGCAAAAAATTTTGCAACCTACTAAAAAAAACTTTAGGTCAAGAGAAATCGAATGGCGCAAGCCGCAGTTAGCTAGCACACCTGGGTTTAGAAGTTATAAGCATTTAAAATGGGTCACTCTCGGCTGGGACACCCTGTATTATCTGAGTTTTGAATATAGTGCGAGTTTGCTTGTTTTTTTGACTTGTTTATTTCAGCCCTATACCTGTTTCTGAGTGTGGTTTCCTCTGTCTGCAGCAGTGCGCAGTCAGTTTCTCTGCACATTTCGTTTAGGGTGTTCAGCTCATACCGTATGACTTGGAGTTCCCCTTCAAACCACTCAAGTCCAATTTCCTGTTTGGCCTTTTCTATTCGCTTACGCAATGGGAATGCAGCGTCTCTGTGAGATAGAAATTTTTTGAAGAAAACTGTACACACTGTCTCAGCATTACCCGATTCCAAAAAGAACCAATTTTCATTTTTTATCAGAACGCATATCTTTTGAAAGCCTTTATTCGTGAGGGGTCGACAGAAAGAATGTCTTACATCCAGGTTTGAATTTGTGATAAGGTCCTCAACATTCAGCATTTAAAATTTTCTCTATTATCTAACAAAGTACCTACTAAAATCTCCTAGCGGGGAACAATAAACAGTGATAACAATGAGTTTTAATTTAATTATTTCGATAGCACTTATCTCACAACGGTCCTGTATTGACAGGCTAGTGAGCTGAAGAAGTGTTTTTATTTCCCATATGGGGTTATGAAGAATGGTTGAACCACCATGTCTGTCATTTATTCTGCAAAAGGAAGATCCCATTTTGTAATCCAGTATGGTAAGATGATCTATTTATTCCTCAAGTTTGAGGCACAGGACGTCGTACTTCGTTCGGGATTTTATTTCCACTTCCCCAACTTTATATCTTATAGAGCATACATTTGCGTAGAATATGTTGAAATTCTGTTTTTTTGTTGTGTGTTATTGATTATTTGAGAACCATTTTGCGAGTTTATGACAGTAAATTTGTTACTTACATAGGAAAGTGGTATGTTGGCTATATTGCACCCATTCCGGTTGCTAGTCGATGAAAAAACCTGTTGATTTGAGTACCTTTTGGCCAAAGTCTGGGACGCATAGGTCTCCTCATTGATGGTAACTTTGAATGAGGCGTAGTAGTTTGGAAACTTTGATTTCATCCTCATACATTTAACTTCTGGAAATTTTGGCTAGAGAAACGAAATCAGTGCTTCTGAGGTTGTTTCTGGCTCCATTTTGTAGACATGCAAAAAGGTCAGTCTAGTCATTCCTTTAATTTGGGAGTCTTCCAGACTGCCAACAATAGTCTCCAAGGGTTTACCAGCTTTTTTGTGTTTCCTACGTCTAACTTCCTGGAATGGTTCTTCGTCGTCAGTGACAGCTTTTTCGACCCCTTCCAGTAGTTTTTCCTCTTCCGGCATGTGGAAAGTCATGTTCATGTCCATTTTCAGGGATTTCATTATTTTCCCCGATTTTTTAAAGGATTCCTGATCCCGGTTGTGTTTTTTTGGTTTGACGGTTTTTGCTTGTGATTGATTTGATTTTGAGGTTATATTAGGCTGGTTAAGAACTCGATCGAAATTTCTTCCTATTTGCCAACTTCATTTGGTTGCGGCTAACGTTAGGTGATACTCTGGTTTTGGAATTTCCAATGGCTGTTTCTTCCATGTTGAGGGCAGAATGCGCTGTTGCCGTACCTTTAGTAGCTTTCCCTTGGAGATCAGCTAATAATTTCGAAGTTATTAATGGATGGGATGCTTTTAGAGATAGGGATGTTTTTATTTCGGTTAGTTCCTAACTAATGCTAGCAAATGCATTTCCCATCTTTTCTTCAATCACTCTGTTAAGAGTTTCTACGGGTTTGTCCATATTTGTTGTTTGTGTAGCATATTGCATTTGGGTATTAAACTTGGTGTTTTTCTTTTTTAATGATTCAATCTCGCTCTTAAGGCCAGCTATTTACCTGTTTTGGTCTTTATTGATGTCCAAAAGATCATTATTTTCATCTGTGAGGGCTTTGTTTAAGCTTGCAATAATATCTGTGTCCATGGTGTCTTCAAGGTCACTTTCAATATTGTTGATCGCCTGTTTATTTGAAGGAAAACTTTGCTTTTCACAACATTTTCTAGTGCATTTAGCAGCGCACGAGTTATGAAACCACGTTGAACAGTTTAACATCAGCTTTAATTACACAATTTACAAAAAAAACACATCCTAAAATCAGAGACAACATTCGCCGCAATGTTTACCCCCCCCCTCTATAACCACCCTCAAAGTAATTTGCAAGTCAAGTGAGGTTCCTCAAACGGTGTATATTGGCACTGCCTATAACTTCCGATACCATTTGTGCCTGAGACTAGGGTGGGTGGAAATGTTCAGATTTTCAAAAAAAACCCTGTTTTCCATGAATCGCAATTATTAGCTTTACCCCCTTAAACCATCCTCGAAGTTATTTGCAAGTCTTTTTAGGTACCTTAAACGGTGTATATTGGTACTGCCTATATCTTCAAGTACCTACCATTTGTGCCCGAGACTAGGGTGGAAATGTCCATATTTTCACAAAAACCCGAGGGGTAAATCACTCATGGAAATCACTGTACGCTTTGCTGGGAATACTTTGGGAATACCTATAGAATTCTAGAAATACTTGGTAATACTCTGGGAACACGTAGGAATACTTGGATATTCTTGGAAATACTCTGGAAGTACATAGGAATACTCTGGAAGCACATGGGAATAATTTGGAAATACATGGAAGTACTTGTAAATTTCTATAACTTCTAACCTTACTTTTAACGTACTTATGGGCATTTTCATTGAAATCTCAAGAATTGCGTGCAGGTTCGTTACTAAAATATAATCATAGGCGCCGGCTTGCTGAAATCTGTATGAGTGCTAAGCCAAAAGCGGCATGAAATAGCGTTTTTTTTTTTGTTTCACTTGACTCGCTGATTGAACCTCTTGTATCGGACCCAAGGATATTACATTACACAGGATTGCTCATCTGTAGATTTTGTCGGTATTTCTCGGATCAAGGTCATAATAGGCGTTTTTGGAAACGGTGTTCCGATTAACCCGATCACCAACTGATGTAAACTGTCTTTCTTCAATCGCATTCATTAAAGAAAGATAAAAAACGAAAAGGCTGGTGATCGGGTTAATCGGAATAGCGTTTCTGAAAACTCCTATTATTTAGTACTGATGCTTGCGTCAGCAGTCGTAGATCATGGATCTGACCCACGCGCGATATTAGGCAATTTTTCGCTAACATGATCAAGCATAATCGATTATGCTGGATTATGTGATGAGTCAATTGTATCATACTCCCCTAACTTCCCCACCATCAAATTCTGGGATACTCGAGGAACAAGAACACTTTATTTCTTCTGTGAGAACAGACAAAAAAATCAACTTTTCTACATTAAAAATCGACGAAAAAATTAACTCACTAGCACAGCCTGAATCGCAAGCATTCCATCGAGGTCTGCGGGTGACGTCATCACGATAAGCTGCTGATAGTGACGTCAATCGCAGGCTCAGAATTGGATGGGGAGGGAGTTGGGGGAGAATGACACAAATGACACACCGATAAAACTACCAATTCTTAAATATTAGCCTTTGTTGGTTTTATCCATTACCCTAAAGCTTACTTTTCATGCATCCGTTTTTCCGTCAATCCGTTGATCCGGGAGTATTCCTACTGGTCCAATCAAAATATTGGACCAATAGGAATACTTCCGGATCAACGGATTGACGAATGCATGAAAAGTAAGCTTAAGTAGGGAAATTGAACATTTAACATTTTTCGTATGGGTGCTCCGCACCCATAATATATTTAGTATGGGTACTTGCGCACCCGTAGCACCCATGGAGTTGGCACCTATGAATATAATCTATCTCAAATTTATAAAGAATTTACTAGCGAATTTATAAAGGTATTTCTAGGCCTGTGTTAAACGAACCTCCGGGCCGACCACTCTGCACACTGTGTCCCAAATTTGTTGTAATCAGAAAGTTTCTCGGTAACCAGCAGAGATAGAAGTTCGCGACCCTGTATCAGTTTTTCGTGAAAATTTGAATGCCGCAAACAGGATTGTGCCACCTTGTTTCGGTCCCGAGATAAAGGGTGAAATAGAAATTTTGCGCTTTTTGCTGGTATTAAATTTTAAACAACCTGTGAGATGAAAAATACCATGGATAGATATTTTTACGTAGAATCCAGTGTTGGACATTTTTTTTTCGAGTCAAACCGTTTCAGGAATTTAGCTTGAACTAAGTATTTTTCAAAGGGACACTCTGTATTATTTATGGTCCCAAAAGATTCGCCTTTTTTTTTTCTTCAAAATGATGTGTCACACTATGCATTTATGACGTAAACTATAAACTAACCCTTGAAAACGTCAGTTGGCCATGGAATTATAGGTAATTACTCGGGTATTAAAGTACCCACAAGCAAAATTAAATAAATAAGCATTCCTTAATCTGAACTTGGTAAATTTAATAATCTTGATAATCCAAGATTCATTGTTGTTCTGTTTTAGTTTTTTCGAGATATTCTAATATAATGTGCTCAATAATTAAATCTTGATTCTTCGGTTTAGGACGTAATAAAACTATGGATTTCTCGCAACGTCAACGTTTCGTGTTTAATCAAACAATGCTTCAGGACTAGTGAGGTTTTTCAATGAATTTACAAGAACCCTTGGGCCTGAAACTCTGTAACGAATAGAGATATTTTCTCTATCTCTATTGATGTCCCCTCTCTATTGATTTCGAAAAGAGAGAAGAAGACAGCAAGCGCCATAGCGATAGGGATAACGATCTCTATCCGTTACAGAGTCCCAGGGTCATTCCGTCCTAAACCGAAGAATCAAGATTTAATAACAATTTTTGAGGACACCAATTATTATCTAAGGTACTCAATAATGACATATTATTTTCTGGAATATTTTATTTTTCCTTTTGCTAGGCTATGCAAGAGACAAAAGTCATCAGTTGGTAACATAGCAAAAAAATAAAAATCATGAAATCTACACTTTGTTGGTTACGAGTTAGAGGTATGCAAATTAGAAGAACACATACCAAACCAACAAATCAAAAGACAAAAAAACAAAAGATCGGATCAATCTGCAAAATCTAAGGCGAAATCCTTAAGAAAAAATCAGGGAAAAAGTATAGAGAAAAGACCGAGAATGTCTGAGAATCAAATGATTCCAGTATCTCAGAAATAAAGGTGCAGAGTAATGAAGAGTATTCAACAATTCAGGGACATCTCTTCATAAGAATGTAATAGAGGCAGGGTTGGCAATTATAATGATATTTATATAAATATTCAATTATCCGATATATATCGGATATATATCAGAATTTGGATATTTATTTATATTTTCAATTATCTAAATTAGTTCATCTGTTTTTTGTTATCTATATTATTAAAATTTGAAATAACTTTATGGTGAATTTAATAAAATATTACAAACATGTAAAGTTGGTATGCTGATAGGAATATAGAATGTAGTAGGTAAATAAAAGTTCGAGTTTAAGAATATGGAAACATTCATGTTATTTATACTACTTATGTTTGTCTTAAGCCATGGTCAACAACAAAAAATAAATAAAACTCTAAACTCAACAACAAAAAGAAATCTACAACTTAGGGCGGGCATTATAAAACTATTTTAATAGAATAACTAGAAGTTAACTTCTGGAATGACGTTACTTCTCAAAGTAATTCCAAAAGTTAACTTTTGGTTATCTGGTAAAATAATTTCATAATACCCGCTCTAAAAACCTAATATTTTTTATACACAAATAAAAATAAATAAAATCCCTATGATTTCCTTCTCATAAATAAAATAATAAAACTATAAAATAGGAAAAAAAGGCCATACAAATATTATTGATATATATCAGGATATTTATAGCATAAATATCATGATATTTATCAAGATATATATCAGGATATTTATCACTGATATATATCCTACCAACCCTGAATAGAGGAAACTATTCCTATTTTTATATGAAGGACACTCAACGGCAGTTTAATGTCCTTTGAATTTGATTTTGACCCTAATTTTCCATTACCTAAAGCCTACAGTTGGAATATTATGTTCAGATTACTATAACAATAATATGTTGAACTTTGAAAGGAATAAGTAGGACATGGAAAATATTTTTATTGATTGGAAATACCTAAGGGAATACTTAACAAAACTTGAAAATTAGTTCTTGGAAATGCTTTGGAAATATCTATGAACATTTAGAAATACTTGCAAGTACCGCGCAATACTTGGAAATACCAGGGAATACTTAGAAATAGTGTTGAAATTTGAGAATTGTCCATATTTTCACAAAAACCCTTTTTTCGATGAATCGCAATTATTAGTTTTACCCCTTATAACCACCCTCAAAGTAATTTGCAAGTCAAGTGAGGTTCTTTAAATGGTGTATATTGGTA